TCTCCTTTCTCCTCCTCGGCTATGGCTTCCCTCTCTTTCCTCGGTCTCTCCCTCTATCTTGTCTCTCTCCCTCCTTCGTTACTCCGTGGTCAAACTCCGTGGCCATGGCCGCTATCTTCGTCTTCGTGGAACTGCGCAGCCAACTTCACAGGTACGTAACAGCCAAACTTGTACCGCTCATCTCTCTCTCTCTCTCTCTTGCCGTAGCGATATCTCCAGCGCAGCAGGTACGTAGTAACCCAATCTTGTATCGCTCAACCTCTCTCTCTCTCTCTCTCTCTCTCTCTCTCTCTCTCTCTCTCTCTCTCGGCCTTTTTCTTCGTCGTGGTCGTCTCTGCAGGTGCGCGGCGGCTTCTCCAACCTTCAGGTCCGCTATGGCGGACTATGACTCTCGGTGGCCACCTCTGCTATGGTGCATCACTCCTGCGACACACAACTCGACGTATGGAATAGCGGGTACCAGCTCCGATACCAATGCAATCAGACTCGCTTCAGTCACACTTTTTTATGCATGTAAACAGTAGCGCAGCAAACTGGCGTCATGCGCCCACTCGAAACTCAGAGATATGGCATCCAGATACGAGTTCACTTTCAATTGGCTATGGCGACTCAGCGCCCAAACAACTCACTGTTCACATACACCGGATCACCCTGGATATCCCACACTCGTTACTCAGCACTCACACACACATACACACACTACACACTAACTAACTCTAGCTATGGCCGCTATGGCCGCTATGGCCGCAACTACCCTATCGCTATGCTACGCTCCTTCTCTCTCGCCCACTTCAGCTCCGGGCTCACTGCAGACCTCCTTGCACAAGTCGCTGTGGCAGCGCTTCTGCATGGCTCACACAGGAATGAATGACTGGCTGGGCGCTGCCTCTTGATTTATACTTCTGAAACTCGTTGGTCTGCCCTTTTCCATCGGCCCATGGTGCTCACAGTCCCTCGTGGTACTTGCTGGACCGGACTGGAACTGACTGGACCTTACCGCTGACTGAATGGGGACTCACTGCTATCCTACTGCTATCGTACTGGGGACGTGCTGCAGTTAGTCCACCACTTGCCCACTTGCCCACTTGCTCGACCTTCTAGAAGGACTACAGCTAAGACTTCTAGACTTCGCTAAGACTTCTATTCGACAGACCTACAGATCAAACCCCTGTTACCTAGGGACCTATGACAGCCTACCAACTGTTTACGAATACACAGGTCACAGGTTCAACTCTCGGGGTCTACACAGGTACTGTACACAGGTAGGGCACGGTCTAGGGATCGAGCTCTGGGATCTGCATCTGCTACTGCAAAGAGGTGAAAACCGTTTCAGGCTGTTCGGAATCGTTTACCTCAGAACTGCAACTTCCGGGAAGTTCACTAACAACGGTGAGCTCCCGGACCATAGGTGATCTCAACGGACACCTAATCTACCGACAATTCAAAATTCGTTATTGCTAACTATTCACATTTATTGATTGATGATTATTTATTATTCATTATCCCTTATTATTTCATTTATCATTTCAAATTAAATTGTTCGGGGGGGAAAGATCATTTTTTTTTTTTTTTTCTCTTCTTTGTTGATTAGGAGTCCAGTCCACATTGGGACAGGGGACTGTATGTGGATTGCTTGATCTGTTCTACCCCTGTTCCCACCCTCCCTGCCCTACCCATACTCTGTGCGCACCGAGGTCTCCAAGTACCACATCAGCAGCGCTGATGTCGATGGAACAGGACACCGAGGCACTGCCACGACGCAGTGCCAGGCTCACAGTTTGCAGCCACTCTGTGTTACCTCCACGGCCGAAGTATCAGCAACAACGCAGCAGGCGGACGACTCCAGCGACATCCAGTACCAAGGCAGCAACTGCAGTACTGGGCATCGCAGGGATCCTTCCCGCCTGTCCGGTCCAAGGAGACCACAAAACTTTGGCAGCTTACCTTCGGCGGGTGCAGGCATTCACGGATGCCGTAGCCACAGCAAAGGCACAGCAAGAGGCAGCAGAAGCAGAATGTCAGCGGCTTGCCCAAGACGCGGCAGCCCAAGCTCAGCGGACTGCTGAGGCTGACGCAATGGCTCGCGACAAGTGGAATGCCGCCAGCACTGAGGCTCTGATTCAGAATGAGAGTCAGTGGACAGCACTACTCCAAGGCATGATCTTTGTGCCTACGGACGAGCAGGCGGATCCGGCACCGGCGGAGGCAGAAAGGAGTTACCTGGCTAACTTAATGCTGAGTATGATGAGGGCGGTGATGTGGAACAACACAATGCAGATCGTGAACACGCACACGGGACGACGGCTGAGACAGACCCAGCAGGGAGAATCTGCAACTTGGACAGCCGCCATCCGCGCAGCAACACAACATCAGCAACAACAGCAGCAGCTGTTGGCATCCAGTATCACACGCGTCAGCAGCATCGATGCTAAGTCCTCAGCAGCGCCAGGCTGCACAATAGACACGGCGAAGCAGCTCGGGGAGCGCATCGACCATGTCGTCAAGATTATCGGCGAACTAGGTGACTTTACCAGTCCGGCCGCGATCAGCAGCACGGTCGTCGCCATCAAGACAGACATCACCAAACTGCAGTCACGACCGGAAGCCACTGCGAAGGTATACAAGATGCCACGTTTCAACATCAGCAAGTTTGACAACTACAACAAGACCGACGCCTTGGCATGGTGGCAAGCCTTCCTCACTGAAGCAGCCTGCCACCATGTGCCGACCGAGGATATGATGAAAGCACTCTACCTCCAACTCATTGGAGGAGCACAGGCATGGATGAACCACACCGCGACCAATCTGGGGTGCACCATCGCCCAACTGCACACGCACATTACGTGGGAGCAGTTCGGGCAAATGTGGAACACTCGATTCATGGTACGCAACGTTGTAAAGGCGGCCATGAACGAGGTCTACTCCAGCTCACAAGGGAACATGCCAACTCGAGACTGGACGATCAAGTGGCAGAAGATAGTAACCACTCCGGTCTTCGACTTGAGTTTCCCAAACCAGCTTTTGATCTTGAATTCGTGATAACAAGGCGCCGCTTATACACTGAGCTTCGCCCTTCACTAACCATKTTGTGTTTTTCCAATTTCGTACTTTGCGCAATGCTTTATGAGGCCCAGTAGAAGAGGGCAATTCATAGATAGCATCCACAATCATTTCAATGACTTGGCTAACAATTTTTTTTTGCGATCGTGCGCAGGACTGCGGCCGACACTCGGCAACGAGTATGACTATGCCTCATGCCAGGCCATTCTGGATCGTGCGAACCTGGTCATCCAAACGGATGACAAGGCCGCCAACGAACGACAGTCCCAACCACAAAATGTGGCTAAGCAAGGCTACCAACGGCCGGCGCATAACAATGCAGTGATTCCTGATGAATCAGTAGATCTCCACGCTGCAGCAGCATCCTCGAGTGATGGAGGAGTTGTCGCAGCGCTCCCGCCGAAGCGTGCCAAGAGAGTTCGGAAGAACAAGGCGACACAAGCGACGACATCGACGGGAACTGGGCAGCAACCATGGACGACATACAACATTACCAAGGAAGTATTTGACCTTCGTCAACGGTACGGATATTGCCTTTGGTGCAATAGTGTAAACCACACTACCGCATAATGCTCGGAAAAGGGCAAGGCACACGTACTCTGTCCAGCTAACTCGGGAAACTGAGTTACGCGCGGAGAGGGGCGACACCTCTCCTCACTCCGCCGGAACCGGTTGCCTTGCTAGCAACCGATATCACTACCGGGGAGCATGCGTTAGTCGCTGATTCTCATGATACATATGAGGATTACGCCGCCCAGCTAGTGCCACCATTGGACCAGCCCAGCCACGTGCACTTAGATAGCATATGCGTAGCTTGTACACCGTCGGCAAGAGAACCGGTTAGTTCGCCACTTTTTTTCGAGGACTCGTTAAGGCTTGAGGACCTCGACCCGCTCACGAGAGAGGATTTCTCTTGGATGCCTCTATCCTTGACCGGATCCTTGCCAAAGCCGCATTGTAACGCCTTGATGGCAACACTCCTACTTGCACGCTGCAGTACCAGCTCCGTTGACGGACGACGGAGTAGCGGTTATAGATCTCCGCTCCTATCTTGCGAAGATTGACCGCTACGTCGAGACTGACGCTCCTTTGCTTTATATCCGCATTCAAATCGGAAAGGCCACCTGCAGTGCCTTGATTGATTGCGGAGCATCTTGCAACTTTATGATCCAAGCCTTCATGGCACGCGCAGGCCCTGGCCCCCGTGTTCGAAGGAAGACGCAACCTACGCAAGTCACACTGGCGGACGGACGCACGCAAAAGTCAATTGACCGATGCGTTGACGACGTGTCGGTGTACTTTGCGCCCCTTGCATGCGAGCCAGTGTCTTTTGACATCCTCGACACCAAGCTCGACATGATTCTAGGCATGTCTTGGTTGCGTAGCGCCGACCATCCGGTAAACTTTCATGACCGAACCGTTCACATCCGTGATCGGAACGGAGTGTTAGTCCCGTGCACGGTCGCCACGCCTCACACTTCGATTGCTTGTCATGTGGTTTCCATCTTGAGGATTCGCGACGCCATAGCTCTGAATGACGTAGAGGAGATGGGCGTTGTTTTCCTACATGCCCTCCCGTCGATGGACGGACCAGCCGCGTCACCGCCGGACCCACGTATTACTCACCTCTTAGATGGATATGGAGACGTCTTCGAGGCTCCCACCGGAATAGTTCCGGATCGACCCATRCGTCACGRGATTACTCTCGAGGCAGGTGTTGTCCCTCCGTGTRGATACATTTACCGCATGAGCGAAGAGGAACTCGAGGTGCTTCGCTCACAACTCGATGACCTTCTCTTCAAAGGTTGGATTCGCCCTAGTTGTTCGCCATACGGTGCACCGGTTCTCTTCGTCCGGAAGAAGAACAAGGACCTATGGTTGTGCATCGATTATAGAAATCTTAACGCACAAACTGTAAAGAACGCCGGCCCTCTCCCTCGGATTGATGATCTCCTGGAGTGATTGGGCGGCACGACGTACTTCTCGAAGTTGGACTTGAAGTTGGGTTATCACCAAATCGAAATCCAGCCTCAAGACCGGTACAAGACCGCGTTCAAAACGCGGTATGGGCATTTTGAGTGGGTCGTGATGCCATTTGGACTCACCAATGCCTCGACAACCTTCCAAGCAGCCATGACAATGGAGTTCCGAGACTTGCTCGATCGTAGTGTCCTCATCTACCTTGATGATATCTTGGTCTATAGTAGGACGCTTGACGAGCACCTCGTACACCTTCGTGCGGTGCTGGATCGTTTGCGAGCAGCCAAGTACAAAGCAAACTGCGACAAGTGCTAATTCGCCAAACAAGAGCTTGAGTATTTAGGCCATTATGTGACGCCGAAAGGCATTCGTCCCTTAGCGGACAAAATCCAAGCCATCGTGGATTGGCCGGAACCCCGTTGCACGACGGACGTACGCCTTTTCATGGGTTTGGCTGGATACTATCAGCGCTTCGTCGAGTCTTACTCCAAAGTGGCAGCTCCTTTGTCGAGACTTCAGTCCCCGAAGGTACCATTTGAATTCGACGATGCAGCTCGTGGCGGTTTCAATACGTTGAAGGCGGCGATGCAAGACGCACTGGCCCTCCGTATCTATGATCCCACCCTACCCACCCAAGTGACTATGGACGCTTCCGGATACGGTATTGGTGCGGTGTTAGAACAATGCCACCCGGACGGTTGACACCTGGTCGAGTACTTTTCCCAAAAGGTGCCTCTCATCAACACTCTCGACGATGTGAGGAAGAAAGAGCTACTCGCGTTCGTCACCGTTCTTAAACGGTGGCGCCACTTTCTTTTCAGTTGTCGACGTCTTAAATGGAATACGAATAATAATCCGTTGACCTACTATAAAACGCAGGACACGGTCACTAGCACGATTGGTCGATGGATGTATTACATCGACCAGTTCGACTTCGACCCATGCCACATTATCGGTCCCGCCAACCGAGCAGCAGGCGCCCTCTCACGACGGCCCGATTTTTGTGCCCTAGTGACTATGACGTTCCAGCTCGACGACGACCTGCAGCAGCACTTCGTCAACGGTTACAAGTCCAACCCGACATACTCCACGCTCTACGCCGAGCTTCCGTCGGATCACCCGCCGGCTGGTCACTATCGTATCTCCGACTGGTTCCTACTCCTCCACACGAGAGGAAAGGACTTGTTAGTGGTGCCCCAAGATTGAATCCTACGGACTCGTCTTCTCGACGAATTCCACGACACACGACTTTCGACACACCTCGGCGTGACCCGCACATTGGCCCGCCTCCGCCAGTGTTTTCACAGGCCTGACGTTCCTCATGACGTCACGAGGTACATTGAGTCATGCACAGTTTGCCACGTAACAAAGGTAGATCTCAGGTCTCTTATGGCGAACTGAAACCGATGACAATCCCTCGGGCACCGCGCCTCTCCATTGCTATGGATATTACAGGCCCGTTTCCCAACGATCGCCTCGGTCATGACGACATCCTCACGGTCGTTGACCGTTTGAGCAAGTACGCTCGTTTTCTTCCATGCAAGTACCGTGCTACAGCCCCCGAGCTCGCACGACTCTTGCACACCGGCTGGATTACCTGCCACGGTGTACCGGAAGACATTGTGAGAGACAGAGACACTCACTTCATGTCAGCCTTTTGGACTTCCCTCATGATGGAGTTCGGTTCGACTATGAAGCCGAGTTTCGCACAACACCCGCAGACGGATGGGCAGTCGGAACGAGCGCATCAGACCGCTCAAGTGATGTTACGTACACTCATCCGTCCCGACCAGAAAGATTGGGTTGACCGGCTTCCCGATATCGAGTTCGCCTATAACACTTCGGTGCACCCGACGATCTGCATCACTCCATTCGAGTTGCATCATGGTGGAGAGAAAACCCGAGTCTTTGTCGATCTTCTTCTACCACGGGCCGCCGACATCGACGTCGCTTGCTCTCCCGCTTCCGTTCGGAAGTACCGGGACTTGCTGATCAAAGCCCCCGCGAACATGCAAAAAGCTCAAATCCACATGCAACAGCAAGCTAACTGACGTCGACTCCCATGTCCTTTCCGCGAGGGAGACCTTGTTTGGGTCCTCGCTGAGGAATTCGTGCTGGACCAAGACGTCTCGCACAAACTCCTCCCGAAATGGTTTGGACCATGGAAGGTAATTTGTGCCACAGGCGACGACCCTGCAGGTCCTTCCTTTGTGATTGCCATTCCTCTGCACCTCCGCGTGCACCCGGCCTTCCGTGCGTCGAAGCTGGCAGTCTATATGCCACCATCCGCAGACGAGTTCTCGGGCAGACGATCATTGACTTGCTGTGAGGGCACGGTTGCGCAGCCCGTAGTTTGTTTCGTTTTGGCTGTGGCGAGGCCCTCTGTGTGTGTATG